TATGTACAAAGATATGCATAGAGTGCTTATTTCATCATGTGTAATTAAACCATAATTATCATGTATCATATATATATCATGTGCCTCATGTACATATCATGTATAATTAAACCATTAACAACACCTGAAATGTTCAGTAACAGGTAAATATGTAAGTGGATTGTGGTATAGAATATTACATATCATTAGAATATGAAAATTCATTATGTACTACATGAGAAAATTCCAAGACATTATGTGAGAAACATTACTACCTATAGAATAATTACAAATGATTTTTTTTAAACTAGATGTATATATATATGTACATGTTTATGTCTTAAGTGCATAGGAAAGAGTCTGTAAGGTTTCGTGCCAAATAAACAAGAATACCTCTAGGATAGGGAATAAGAGAAAAGTTGAGATGGAAGATGAACGTTTTTCTGCATGTTTATGAATTATTTTTATGGAGAATGTGTTTCAGCTTAAAACTTTTGAGATAAATTATAAAAATGACTGCAGTTCTTAGGTAGAAAACTTTACTTTTTCAACTGTGCAATGATCTTGTAATAAAGAGGATCTGATCATGAGGATTTTTTACTTTGTGAATCTTAGATGGCTTGTTCTTTTATCAGTTATTTCCGTTCTCCAGGCAAAAGAGGCTGAGATTGCAAATTGCAGAAATGAGAATTGGAGAGAACATAAAGAGAATTTTAAGAAGTGATTGGTTATAGTAATAGGCATGTGAGATGTGGAGGAAAGAAGAGAATGGTAGGTAAAATTGAGATGGGGGAACACAGGAAAAAAAGAACAGATTTAAAGGAAGAGGAAAATGAATTAAATTTACAATATTGAAGACCTGTGGGAAAATCTTATGAAGCTATGTAGCAGATGGTTTGAAAGAACAGTCTGGTGCTCTGGAAGTCATCTGCACTTAGAATTTTAAAGTCATGATTGTTGATAGTTAGATGACCAAAGGAAGAGTGTATAGAGTGAGAGAAGATTCTTAGAGATGGAACCCTGGGGACCGTAACATTTAAGGAGCTAGCAAAGCAGTCCCTGAAGCTGGCTGAAAAGTTGCACTGGACAGTCGTATCTGGCATTTCAAAGATGAAGGTGATGGGAGTAGTCAGTAGTTGTGGCATTCCACAGGAAGCAGAAGGAAGAGAGAACATTTAATTGCAGTAGTAGGGATTTTGACCAGAATGGGTTGTGGTACAGAGCCCTCTAGTGGAAGGGAGACTGGCATTTGAGAACTGAAGCTCGGAAAAGAATATGCATGAGACTGGCATTTTTTGTCCTTTTTGTGATCCATCACTTTCTTATTGGAAAGAAATTAATGGGGGTTAGTTGTAGTCACTGAGCGTATGAAAGTTATATGTAAATTTTTCTTCTGCCCTATGAAAATTAGAGGTTATGAGGAGCTAAAACATGTGGAGAATGACATTTTTTTTTTCCAGCAATGGGAGGGCAGTTAGGGAATTTTTCTCCCAAGGAGAAGTCCCAAAGCAGACAGTAAAGAAAAACAACAGGGCTTTTTGACACCTACCTCAGCTGAAGCATGGACCATCTCAACTGAACCATGGACCAAAGGCATGGACCAGTCACAGAAGGATGCGTGTTAAAAGAACCTTATCTATCAGCAAGCTACTAACCAAGAAAAATAACTGTGAAATGTGTTATTGTACATACTCAGTTTTTATAGTACCTCCTCTGGAAAAACTACTTGCTTTATTACTTTGTTTTTTATATTTAGTATATGAAAACAGGGAAGAAGTTATTTTCTACACACACAAAAGACTAGACAAGAGAATAATCTTTATTACCTTCTTTTGTTTTTTTATTAATTACTCATGGAGAAAATTGTGGAACAACATATATTAATAGTAGGATTGGTGAGGGAAATTAACTTCTTTTTATACAACTCTGTTGTTTGGCATCATCACAGTGTTTTTAAAACAACCAATAAAATATGTAGTGTTTATAAGGAAAAGCTAAAAATAAAATAATACATATTTGTAGAAAGATTAGGAAAATAATGTAGAAGTATACAATGTAGGAAAAGTCTGCCACTCTATTCCTACTGTGTAATTTTGGCTGTATATAAGGTCTTATTACTACACAAAATAATGTAGATTTATGTAAAGATATATTCATAAAACTATATACTTTTTCATTTATTCATAGGCATCTTTCTATATTGATATATCAGTGTATTCTTTTAAACACTGCATAGAATTTTGAAAACTTTTGGGGCAAACTTTTTTTAATTGAAATATAACATATTCAGTGAAAAGTGTCCAGCTTAATGATTTTTTACAAAGTAACGATACACATATAACTATCTTTCAGATCAAGATCAGTAACAATGCCGATCATTACATAACCCTTTTTCATACTTCCTTTCTCCTAACCATAGGTAACCACTATTTTGACTGCCACTCATATAGATAAGTTGTGTCTGTTTTTTAGCTGTATATATATTGAGTCATATAGTTGTGTGTGACTTTTTTATGTGCATCTTAACTTTTTTTCGCCTATTATTATTTTTCTGAGATTTATTCATGTGGTTGCATATAGTAGTGGTTTATCCTTTTTCTATTTGGTATAGTATTTAGTAGAATGCATAAATCATGATTTTTATGTATTCTCCTATTGATGGGCATTTGCGTTATTTCAGATTGATAATCATTATGAATAAATGCTCTTATAAGCCTGTACATGTACAAGATGTACATGCCTTTTGCACACACTTCTACTGAGTACATACAAATTGTTGTATATCAAGAAAAGAAATTACTAGATCATATGGTATACATATATTCACCTTTAGTAGATACTGTCCAGTTGTTTCCCAAAGTGGCTCTGACATCTTACCTTCCATCAGCAGTATGAGAGTTCCATATATTCTATGTCCTTGCCAGCCATTTAGTATTGATGGCTTTTTGTTTGGTTTGTTATTATTTGGTTTTGATGGTTATTTTAGAATGTTTTAAAAAGTCTGCCCAGGGGTGCCTGGGTGCCTCAGTCAGTTAAGCAACAAATTCAGCTCAGGTCATGATTTTGCGGTTTGTGAGTTTTAGCCCCACATTGGGCTGTATGCTCACAGCTCAGAGTCTGGAGCCTGCTTTGGATTCGATGCCCCTGTCTCTCTCTATCCCTCCCCCACTCATGCTCTCTCTTTTTCTCTCTCTCTCTTGAAAAATAAATGTTAAAAAATAGAAGTCTGCCCAGTATTTTATTATGTGACTAGATCATAATTTAATCTCCTTTTGATGGGCTTTTTCCCTGTTCTTTCACTATAACACCACCAGAACCTAGACAGTTCCAATGTCTAGTGGACTCCGTGATCTGTGTACAGAAGATTTAATACTGAAAGTTTCAGAATCTCTATATATTTTTTTCTTTTCTTAACAGGTTTTTCTCAAATTACATCTGGTTTTGGATAGTATGGTGCCAATATGGAGAATCCATATTAAATATTTTCATTTTATGACATGAAAGTCAATTTTGATTTCATAGTGGGAAATGGTTGTTTTTTTCACTCTTGTTTAAAAGTAGTGTAAAAAGTAGTATAGTATCTGAAACTAGACTTTTGGTGAAAGCATTGCTAAACACAGCCAATTTAATTGTCCAGAATTGCATTCTATTAGAACAAGCATACAGTGCTAGCTGCCAGCACCTGCATCACCTAGATCTTCAGTCCACTGGAAAACTACTGTGTGAATTACTTGATAGTGTAACCACTTAGGTTTTAGGAACTGACTTTCACCCTTGAAAGTGAAGGGTAGGTATTTCCAATCAGAAATTTGCTTCAAACTCCAACCTTCCTTTTAACAAATCTTCTCTCCCCAGTTTCCTTAAATTTTCTTTTAACATTGGCTTTTAAAGTATGAAACTCAGAGGGCTTGCTTTTCATGGGTTAAATGTGATCACCAGACCTCCAGCTTCTCATGTTAGGAGGTGTGATTACTTCATGATAACCACCCTTCCTGTTGTGCATCATAGTTTTAAACAGGTGTTAGCACAGGTGGCATTCAGTACTATCCAATTACCATAAGTAATTCCTTGGGAGAATTCAGACACTGTTAACCCTCTGTGAGAACCGAATGGTCTTTTGGAAAATGCCTTATGAGCATATAAGATAGCTTTATCTTTGCTATATTCTTTGCTTTTGCCAGCTGTACATTGAATTATTCATTTTTGGAATAGCTATGACCAGAAGAAGCATGATTCTCATATTAGTAAGTTTTAGACATGTATTTTTACTTTCAGATATGGAGGTTTTTCACATTTCTAGGTAATTGCTATCAGGAATTTCTTAGAGGTAGCTGAAAACTGCTTTTTATTTTATTCAGTTTTTTTATTTTCATAAGTCTGTGTCTTAGAAGAATGTCTTTACCTCTTGAGATTTCTTAAGAGGTCATGCTGCAGCATAACTCTAAAATTCTTTCACTTCTTCATTATCTGTACTAATAGTAACGAATCTGAAAACACCTACGTAAATTAACAAAAAAGCCAGAAACCTTATTGAAGAGGCTGTTTTCAGTGACCTCTCCTTTCTCAGCCCCTAAATCTTTTTTATCAGTGTTGATAATGACGAGTAAAACTTGCTGGCTTGATTTTTTTTTCTTCTCAGTATCAGGTAAAAGTTCTAATATTCTCAACCAGGATTGGGGTTCAGGTGGTGGTAGAACTACAAATCTAATCAACTTCTGACACATAACTATTAATTAGGTGTCTCTTCATTTATCTCGCATGAACCTAGCTTATAGATTAATTTTAGAAACCACTTTCAAGTCTCAGTTAGTAAAATGCTTTGACCTCCAGTAGATCATTTTTTAGTATATTCTAGCCAAGGCAGTCAGCCTCTACAAAGAAGTCCATTATGAGAGAGTTTGCTCAAGTTGCTTCCTTATAGGTAACACAGATAATAAAGTACTCACTAACCTAGCACCAGCAGAGTCCTCAGCCTCCCTGTAATTTCTGTACCCACAACAGCTGTTTCTCTTTCTACACAGGGATCAGTCAGAGCCGGATCTCTCACTGGCTGTTGCAGCAGGGATCAGACCTGAGCGAACAGAAGAAAAGAGCATTTTATCGATGGTATCAACTTGAGAAGACAAACCCTGGTAAATATCATTTCCTTATTTTATTGCCTCTGAAACAAGGCAGTGTAATTAATTACTTTATTAAATCTGTATTCTGACTTGCCTTCGCTAAGGTAGTTTCATACTTTCCTGTTGTTCCTTTCTCCTTAACTATAAAATCCAAACCCTGATCATACCAGTTTTTAGTTTAGTGTCTAATCTAGTCATTTTCACTCCTTCCTCCAAGGCATCTGCTACCAGTTTATATGCTGTTTCTAACCATAGTTTGAAAGCTGCAATGGCTGATTTCTTATTTTCAACTATAGGTACACACATAAGAATCCGTCTTTTTTTTTTTTTTTTTTTTTTTTNTTTTTTTTTTTTTTTTTTTTTTTTTTTTTTTTTTTTTTTTTTTTTTTTTTTTTTTTTTTTGGTGTTACTTCATTTAATAATGTTAATTTCATACTTTTATTTAGTTCATTCTATACTGTATCCAGTGATCTCTGTTAATGATTTTCTATTTCTAGTTACCTGGATGATGGTTTGGACTTTAGGGTGAAACTGCCCTGATGACTTTGGAAGCAGCAGTAGGTTGGAAAGCAGAATGAAATCTGAAGGAAAAAGATCACTAAAACCTTTATGTCTGAAGTTGCCAGGAATAGGCAAGATCTGTTGTAGGATACTTTTAACAAGCGGTATATAGAGTCCGACGTTGTATGGCAGCCTGTATCAACCTACACACTAGATAGATGGGTGGCAATGAGCCTGATCTCAAGGTTAGCCTTTTGATTGAGCTGTGTTCTGAAATACCACAGCATTAAAGCCATTGCTTGTTACAGGTTAAATCGTCATTTGGAATATTGCATGCTGAAGACTTAGCTAATAATAGTATTGACTCCGAGTTAGAAATAATGTTAGAAACATATTTGTGTGTATATGAGTGGTAAGTTTTTTGTTTGTTTGTTTGTTTTTAAAGATCACATTCCTGATCTGAAAGGTTTAGGCAGGACAAAACAGAACAGACCTCTGCAATGGATTTTTTTAATCTACCAGACCCCAGTTTCTATTTTGAAATTTTCAGATGTACAGAAAACTTGAAAGACATCACAGTGAACACCTTGTTTACCCTCTTCTTACAGTAATTGTTAAAATTTTGCTTTATTTGCTTTATTCCTATAAAATAAATGAATAAATTTAAAAATCTATCTATGTATATGCATGTATATACCTCTCTTTCTCTTCAGCATTCCTTTCCTGAATAAAAGAATAATTACTTGAATAATCACAGCCACTGTTACCACATCTCAGAAAATTAACAATAATTCCATAATAGCATCTGACATCTAGTTTATATTTCTATTTCTCTGGTTACAAGAATGTCTTTTTTCTAATCAAATAGTATCTGATTTAGGTTGACAAATTAGAATTTGTCATGTCTCTTTAGACTCCTAAGTCTGGTCACTCAAACTTTTTTTTTTCATAACATAAACTTCTTAAACTGTCTAATCTTACAGAATATCCCATATTCTGTATTTTTGTGTTTCCTCTTAGGGTCAATTAAATTATTCCTCTCTAGTGCCTGTATTTCCTGTAAACTAGAAGTTAGGATTAGAGGCTTGATTAGATTCAAGTTAAACATTTTTGGCAAGAATACTTCATAGATTATTTAGAGAGGGCATGTAGTGATGTCTGCAATATACTTTGAAATGCATCAAAATAAAATGGATAAGGAGATAAATAATGTGATAAACTAAATGAGTAAAATATTAGATGACATGAGTATAGATTTTCATCATAAAATTCTTTCATTGTTTCTGTATGAAAACATTCACAGACATTGGGGCAAAATACTTTGTAACGTTTACTTCATGTATCAAGGCATATGTAATGTCAGATTGTAGCACTGTTCATGAGGTAAGTTTGATCATTTTTTAAAGTAAGGACCACCAGGGGCTCCTGGGTGGCTTAGTCGGTTAAGCGTCCGACTTTAACTTAGGTCATGATCTTGCGGTTTAAAATCTCGTGGTTCGAGCCCCGCGTTGGGCTCTGTGCTGACTGCCAGCTCAGAGCCTGGAGCCTGTTTCAGAGTCTGTGACTCCCTCTCTCTCTGACCCTCCCCTGCTCATGCTGTCTCTCTCTCTCCTAGAAATAAATAAAACATTAAAAAAAAAAAAAGACTTTAAAAAAAAATAAAAAATAAAGTAAGGACCACCAGATCTTATCTTTGCAATTTGTCAATAATCTGTAGAGTGTCATTTTGTCACTGCATGAACAGCAACCTTTTATCAGTGGTTTTAGCATCCATTGATGCTTACTTAATGAGTTATCCTGTTGGGGATTACAAAATGCTGATGATCTTATTTAGCATTCCTTCAACATTTATTAGCTGGCAGTTTTTCTGCAAAGAACTTTCATTTTTAGGTATTCTTCTAATGATAGGTAGATAGGCAAGCAGATCTCTCAAACTAATGACTCTGGTTGCTGCCATTAGCTAAATGTTCTAAAGAGGCACAGTTCATTAGAAATACAATGCAAATGGCATGTAATTTAAAATTATCTAGTCTTCAGGGGCACCTGGGTGGCTTAGTCGGTTAAACGTCCGACTTTTGCTTAGGTCATGATCTTGCGGTTCGTGGGTTCGAGCCCCGCGTCGGGCTCTGTGCTGACTGCCAGCTCAGAGCCTGGAGCCTGTTTCAGTCTGTGACTCCCTCTCTCTCTGACCCTCCCCTGCTCATGCTGTCTCTCTCTCTCCTAGAAATAAATAAAAATATTTAAAAAAATAAAATAAATAAAATTATCTAGTCTTCAAATTTTAAAAAGTAAGAAATAGCTAAAATCAATTTTTATAATCTATTTTATTTAGCAAAGATGTATTAACACTTCAAGTTTAATTCAGTACTTTTCAAAATTATTGAGACTTCTTTCTCTTTCTTTCATTTTCTTTCTCTTTGTACTGATTCTTTGAAATCCAATGTGTATTTTAAACTTGAAGCACATAATGTTTCCAATCAGCCACTTTTAGGTGCTCAGTAGCTGCATGTGGCTAGTGCCTACCCTATTGGACAGTCTTAAGATAAAATCATACTTGAAGCAACACTTCAAACTCAGCTCTAATTAGTCTTCCCAAAGACATCACTTCTCCCATGATTCACAGCAAAGCAAATCAAATGGTGAATGACAAAAACTTGGCACTTGGACTACTTACTAGAGCAGTTTAGGCTGATAGCAAAGATTCAGGTAGGTAAATAAGGAGCTATACCTAGGGGTTTCATAAACCTGATCCCCTTTTGGCAATTGGCTGCCAAGAGGGAACACCAGAGGGATTGTCAAGATATTCCAAAATGTATAGGGCAGAACAGTGAAGAATAATTTGAAGGACAAATACTAATCAACTGTGTCAGGCATTCAGCCTCTATAAGAGAAGGGATTTTTGTATCTTGGATTGGCAGTACCTTGACATATCATCACAGTTGGGGAGGCTACATTCCCATCCCACACTCAGATTTCAAGGCTGGGCTCTAATCCCAGGAAGTGACTAGGATACCAGGAAAATAAATTCACCAGAAGGAGGAAGGGGACTAAGGTGCAGCTCTCAGGCCACCACAGCCTTGTTGTTGTAGCTAATTTGATAGCACTGCCGACTGTGGAATACTACTATTAGAGTCCTGTTTTTAGCACTGGGGTAATATAGTGTTCTTCTGAAGCTGTTTAATTAAAAATTGTTGAGTGCTTGGCTGAGGAGCCAATGGGACAAAGCTACCATCTGTGGGATTTTGACTAAACACTACTAAGTCAAGAATCCCACCCAGGTGGAGCAGTACAGCCTGGAGTCAGGACCAGTGGGGTGCAGAGAGCCCCTAGGACAGGAAATGGGCCAGCCAGCAAAGGGACCCTCACACAGTGCATGTTTATGGGGAACCTGGTGCTAAACCAGTTATAGATGACCTGCTTATGGGTCCTACATAGCAGAGCAGTTCCCTACCTGCATTCTATTGAAAGTCAGCCCTCTACACAAGGGTTTGTAAAAGTAAATTTTCTTAATTAAAAAAAAAAAGAACAGCACCTGGGTGGCTCAGTCATTTAAGCATCCAACTATCTAACTTCAGCTCAGGTCATGATGTCAGGGTTGGTGAGTTCAAGCCCAATGTTGGGGTCTTTGCTGACAGCTCAGAGCCTGGAGCCTGCTTTGGTCTCCCTCTCTCTCTGCCCCTCCCTTGCTCATGCTTTGTCTGTCTCTCTCTCTCAAAAATAAATAATCATTTTTTTAAAAGAGAGAAAAATGTTTTTGATCTTATTTTTTATTTCAATTTGTCTTAGAGTTAGGCTAAATCGTTATCAGGAGATGGAGGCAGGTGGAACTAGGGCACTGAAACAGGAAAATGGGAAAAGACTAACAGCATTCATCCAGCTGTTGGTAAGGAATTGGTTTCTTTGAAGAGCTGGTACCTCCTTTTAAGAATAAGTTCCCCTAGGGGCACCTGGCTGGTTCATGTGGTGGAATATGTGACTCTTGATCTTGGGGTTATAAGTTTTAGCCCCATGTTGGGTGTACAGTTTACTTTAAAATAAACAATAAAAAAATAAATTCTCCTAATTATGTGCACTTGCTTTTCAGTAAAGTTGTATTGCTGATTGTCCCCTTTCTAAAGGACTTCCTATTTTTATTTGAAAACAAATCCATATGGGGTCCAAAGTTCGTTCTTGTCAGGTTTTCTGTAGGACAAAATTTAAAGTTAGCTGAAGAGAAGAGGATAAGTTTATAATTGTCAACTAGTAGTTTTCATAGCATCAACAGCAATTGGATGTTAGTGATTGAAATAAATTTTTAGAAGTTTTTCATTACATTTTCACCCTTATTAAATAAATAAGAGCTATTATGGTATAGAATTCTTTCTAAGTAAATAAATCTTTGTTGACTTTAACCTTTGATTATAGCTGAAGAATTGTATTGTTTTTTTTTTTTCGTAGACCCTTTGAAACTACTATTCTGTTTAGATAAGATGAATTAAAGTTATGTTGGCACATAAAAATAGCTTATCCAC